AAAACCAAAAAACAAAACAGCTAACATCCAGGAGCTCAGCAGAAGGAGCTGCTCGTTGCTTGAATATAAAGCCTCTTCAGGCTCACGCTGAGCAGAATTTCATTAAAAATGATTACCGGCAGGTGTTCCTTCTAGAAAAGACCTACATTATAAATAAATAAAGGAACTGCTTTTCTCATAGGTAATATGGAGTAACAGTATACTTTCCTGGGTATTGGCAATGTGGGGAGCTGGGCTGAGGTGGGAGGGGGGGGAAGAATGGTGAAAGAAGCTCAAAGAAAACAGCTAAATGTCTTTTCCACCCACTCCCAAATTCAGTTTATTTATGGTTCTATCTGATTTGCCAGCCCACAGATCTTAGCCCTAAAGAGGGAAACCCTTGATAGGTGTGATAAAATTGCAGGGAAAAGTCATAGAGCATTAGAGCTGGGATGCAGTGGAAAGAGTACGGCCCAGAGTCAGCGGGTTGGAGCTCCAATCCCATCCCTCTGTGGCCTTAGGCGAGTGACCTGTCCTTGTGATTCAATTCCTCTACTATGAAAAGAGGAGGTTGGACTAAATGTTTTTTGCAGTCCTTTCTGCAGTCTAGAGCCATGATCTAGTCCTAACCCCTTATTTGAGAGAGGAGGAAACTGAGAACCAAAGAAAGCGCCTGACTTGTCCAGAGCCAGGTAACTGGCGAAGGACAAGAGCCGGAGTTAGAACCCAAGTCTCTTGACTCTCAAAACAGAATGGTTCCCCTCCCTGCCCCGGTCCCTCTTCTATCAAAATTAAGCACAAGGTTACCTGACCCTATACTAATAATAGCTCGCAGTTTTATAGAGTTGTAGGGTTTGCAAAGCACTTCACTAGTGCAAAACCACTTTATTCAATTAATCTGAACCTCACAACATCACTGTGAGGGTAGGAGCCCAGAGATCTGGAAAGGTTTCCTTCTGGAGGTGGCAGGACAGTTTAGCTCTCAAGGAAGCTAAGAATTCGGAAAGGGGAGGTAAGGAAGGCTTTGGGAGGAGGGCAGACTGTTAAGACTTTCTTCTGTTCTGTAGCTTACATTTATTTGAGTGAGGGAGGACTGTGCAAAGTCACCAGCCTCACTTTTTCCTCCAGAGCCATCTGGATCCAGTGGCCTGATTTCATCAGGATGACTGGAGGTGGCCCGGGATGCAGTGGGAGACCTTGGCCCATTTATCTTTAGCACTTGAAGGTTTACAAACCACCTTCACACCCTTTCTGTTGGGCTGTGTATGTCTCAGTAGCTCTGTTTACTGGCCAAACTACCTTTGAAATTCATAAGTGGAGGATTCCAGGGGCAATCTTCTTAGTGCAAAAAGACATTCATTTAGGAAAGATAACTGGTTCTGGATTCGTCCCTTTGGTCAAATTTATATACACCATCATTGCCATCAGGACTGCCATCTTCAAGTGCAATGGATAATAATAGCTCATAGCATCAGAGGACTTAGAGCTGGAAGGACCATGGAGATCACCTGTTCCAACACCTATGTTTTATAGATGAGGAAACTGAGGCCCAGAGAGGTTAAGCGGTCTGGTAGCCAAGGCAGTGAATGGTATAGGGCAGTGGCGTCAAACTCGCATGATAACAGCCAACATTTATATAGCACTCACTGTATGCCAGGCACTGTGCTAAATGCTTTACAATCATGATCTCATTTTATCCTCACACCAACCCTGGAAGGTAGGTACTGTTATTATCAACCCCATTTTACAGATGAGGTAGCTAAGGCAAACAGAGGTTGAAGTGACTTGCCCAGGGTCACACAGCTGGTGTCTGAGGTCAAATTTGAACTCAGGTCTTCCTGACTCCTGACCCAGTGCTCTATCTACTATACCACCTAGCTGCCTCTTATAGAAATAGAAATAGGACCACTAAACCATACATAAGGATCCCTGCAGATTGTATGTTGATTTAGAAAACTACATATTAACACTATCTATGTTCTATTGTATTATTATTTATTTGTTAAATATTTCCCCATTTTATTTTAATCTGGTTGGGACAGCCCTGGAAAGTGTTGCCTCCCTTCAGGCAGTGTGGTTGATACCTCATATATGGGGGGTAGAGCACCAGCTCAAGAAGTCAGGAAGAACTAGATTCAAGTTCTGCCTCATGAGGTCACCCTCATTAGCGTTACCTATGTGAGGTGTGAGAGATCACGTTTCCACAGATGCAGAGGAAGTGGTCTTAAAGTCAATACAGGTGTGAAAGGAGCAGTTTTACTTAGAGTTGTTTTAAAAAGTGCTGAAAGTAGGACAAAGGCTACAAATTGCTCAAAGCGAGAGTACTTAATGAGTCTATGAATATTATCTTCTCCCCTGGGTGGGGGCAGGGTGAGGGGGATTGACACAATTTTAGGCACAATGTTCTGTGCAGAGGGAAGCGGGGAACATAGTAAGGAAAAATATGAAGCAGATGTTCCAGGAAGTTGTATCCTCGAAGTATCCAGCCAATGGAGAAACGGGGGAGGGACCTCGCCTTTCAGGACAGGAATATGACTGCTTGCTTTCTCTTCTGAAGGGTGTGTCTGCCTCTAGCAGCACGCCCACTTCTCGCAAGAAGTATAACAAATGAGCTTGACTCGTCTACCTCGAGAGTCATTGGTTTTCCTATAGAAGTTATCCCTAACACGTATGCAAGTCATTTTACCTGTCTGAGCCTCCATTTTCTCATCTGTGAAATGGGAATGATAATAATAGTACCTACCTCACAGGATTGTTGTGGAGATGAAATGAGCTCTCATATGTTAAGCATTTTGTGTACCTTAAAGCGGTATAGAAATGTGAGGCGGTAGAAGCGGTAGGTGGTGGAGAGGATCAAACCTCTTCAGATGTAAAATCTAGTGCTCTCCTTCTGCTTCCCTGTGCTTCTGACCACCTTGACAACAATCCGTGTTTTGTCGTGTTGGATCTGCTGTGGAATTTCTTTTAAATCGTTTGGAACGTGTGGAACGGAGGGCAGTGAATCGGTGGCATTCATGCGATTTTTAAAATGTGGCTTTTCTCGGAGCCTTGACGTAAAGAACTTACTGGACTTCATTCTCTTGTGAGGTCCTTTCTTTATGAACTCTTTAGAGCCAGGAATTATCCCCAGACACAGCTTTTTAATAGATTAGTAAGATTTGCCTATTCGGAGTAGCCTCGATTCCTAGGATATTGGGATATTATCTGTCTCCGTACTCTATTGCTGTAGTCCCTATAGGGTTCGCTGTGTTTCTCTTTTTGTCCCAAGGAATTCACCTTGTGCTTTTTACTCACCCGTCTAAAGGCAAACAGCCACAAGGAGGTTATTTCCTCGAAGGGCTGGGACTAGATGTTTTAGAGACCGCTAGGCAACTCTGTGGATAGAGCGCTGCGCCTAGTGTCAGGAAGAGCTGAGTTCAAGTGTGGTCTCAGACCCTTGATAGCTGTGTGACCCTGGGCAAGTCATTTAACCTCTGTTTGCCTTCGCCCACTGGAGAAGGGAATGGCCAACCACTCTAGCATCGTTGCCAAGAAAATCCCAGATGGGGTCACAAAGAGTCAGATGTGACCAATCAGCTAGACAGCAACAAAGAACACCTTCAGGATCTTCCAAACCGAGCTCGGGATCCCGTCCTGGCAAGCACTGGTTGATCAGAAAGTGTTACCGGCCAGCAGTGTGGAGGTCAATAATCCACCTCCATTAAGAGTGGCACATAAAATGACTGGAATAAGTTCTCACAGTCCATCCTTGAAACTGCCTAACTGTAGGACCCTGGGCAGGCCACTTAATCTCTGAGGCTTAATTTTCTCGTTTGCAAAATCGAATAATAGGGGCAGCTGGGTGAGGCAGTGGATAGAGCTCTGGCCTTGGAGTCAGGAGGACCTGAGTTCAAATCTGGCCTCAGACACGTAACACTTACTAGCTGTGTGACCCTGGGCAAGTCACTCACCAAAGAAAAAAAAAAGGAAAAAATATAGCTAGATATAATATAATCCTAAAACATTCTCTTTAAAATGGAATAATAATAATAGTAGCAGCGAGCATTTGTATAATGCTTCCTATGTGCCAGGCACTATGTGAAATGCTTTACAATTATTATCTCATTTGATCCTCACCACAACGCTGGAAGGTAGGTGCTGCTATTTCCCCCATTTTACAGATGAGGAAACTGAGGCAGTTAAGTGACTTGCCCAGGGTCACACAGCTAGTAGAGTATCTGAGGCTGGATTTGAAGTCTTCCGGACTTCAGGCCTGACACTCTCTCCACAGCAGCCTCTGCACAAGACTGTTGGGAAAGGTGTTTAGTAAATCTTCAAGTGCTGTACATGGGAGTTGTTTACTGTTGTTATAGCATCGTCATTCCTCTTACTAACAGCATCATCATCGTTGTACTAAGCAGAAGATGCCTAGGAATATGGGGGCATAACTAGTAGATGAGAGGGGAAGGATGCATACCTCTGGGAGTAGCCTCAAAGGAGTGATGACCCACAGATGTGTCTAGGCTGCCATGCACCTTGCACCAGGCTCCCCTCTAGCCCGGGATCATTTTAGAAGCTAAGGTTTTCCAGGCATTTGGTATGCTCCCCCTTCCACGTCCTGCCCTCATTCTATCCTCTGTGACGTGCTGCCTCTCTGGATTGTTGTGTTATTAATAAGTTTTACAAGCGCCTTTACACGCAGCAACTCTGTGAAGTGGAGAATGAAAGTTATTACCCCAGTTTTATGGGCGCGGAAACAGAGGCTCCGAGAGATTGAGTGATTTGTCAAAGACCACACAGCTACCGAGTGTCAGAGCTTGGCACTAGAGCCCCCGTCTCCCTGGATGCTGTGACCAGTGTTCTTTCCAGACGCGTGAGCTCCCATTGCTTCTCTGGAACGCGTTTTGTGGAGCCGGGAGTGCTCAAACAATGCCTGTAGTAGAACATCTCTTAACTGAGTCCCAGGAGCTAATCTAGAGGGGTCTGGCTTCACTGATTTATCTGTTTCTAAGCTAACACGATTTTCTATGCGTTTCTTGCAGACACAAGTCACCAAGCTCGTTTGTTATCCAATCGGCCTTGTTACGCGCTGCCCGCTAGTAGCCATGATCGGCGCTCCATCCTGGCGATCACTGAGCCCCCACGGTTCCACCCCCAGGCCAAAGGCAAGAACGTGCGCCTGGACTCCCAGTCCCGCAAGGCTACCCGAAGAAACAGTTTCTGCAATGGGGTCACTTTCACCAACAGACCCATCCACCTTTATGAGAAAGTCCGACTTAAGCTGGTGGCTGTGCACCACGGATGGAGCGGGGCGCTGCGCTTTGGCTTCACCATCCATGACCCATCCCAGATGAACTCTGACGACATACCAAAGTACGCCTGCCCGGACCTGGTGACTAGGCCGGGCTACTGGGCCAAAGCTTTGCCGGAGAGATTTGCACTGAGGGACAACGTTCTAGCCTACTGGGTTGACCGGCATGGGAGGGTGTTCTATAGCGTCAATGATGAGGACCCGATACTGTTTCACTGTGGCATTAAAGTCTCTGGACCCCTTTGGGCCCTCATAGATGTTTATGGAATTACCCATGAAGTGCAGATTCTAGGTAGGTAACACTTCTGCTCATGACCATCTGTGTATTTAAATAACATCATTTATATTTTTAATCTTGTTTTTGATCTGGACTTCATTATTTCATTACACCAGGAACTTCTGGTATAAAAGCGTCTTTCACTGAGATTCTCAACTCATCCGCAATGGAACAGTCTTAGGGCATTGCCTGGTGTACTGAGAGGCTATGCAATTTGCTGAGAGAAACATAGCTACTTCGATGTCCGTGGTGGGACTTGAACCCAAGCCTTCCTGCCTCTGAAGCTAGGTTTTTGTCTACTATGTCATGTTGCTTTGCATTATTAATATATCCTATACAGGAATACATACTCTGACTTTAGATCACATTTTAAATTTACACAGCTTGCTCTCCCTGTATTCTCTGATCCATAGGTGGGACTATGGGCTTCTATCAATGACCGTAAAATGAGAAGGGAGGAGAAAGAGCTCCATGGACAGATTAGAGCTGTTAAATGCAGTATTTCCCCCTTTTTTGCACCTCTTTCAGAAACAGGTATTGAATTTTTCACCTGCAAGGTTCCTCTGCACTTTGTATGTAGAAAGCAATTCTCTTTTCAAAGAGAAAGAGTGAACTACTCTGCCTTCCATGTCCCCATAGAGGGCCAAGGACTAGGTAGAAAGCTTGCATGACAGCCTGAATACAAATCTTTGGCCAGATCCCATCTACCAATTTGCAAAAAGTCCAAGGCTGTGATGTGGGAGAAAATCCCCAAATGTGGCTTAGGCTAGCCGAACTATGAATGGCTAAGACCTAGAGGCCAAATCTCAGATAAATGCAGGGCTTTATGAGTTCAAAATTTGGAGAAACTGCTTTGGTTTTACTCTTCAAACCAAAACTCAATTTCTCATTGAAATGATTCAGTAAAATGCCTTAGAGGAATAAGACAAGCCTTTGTTTGACTTAAGTATACACTTACTAGAAGTAGCCTCTCATTTCCTTGAATTTGGGGGTTTGTACCCTCTCATTGGAGGGTTTCTATTATATAATGATAAGAGGCAACAAGGTGGTGTAGTAGATGGGTCACCAGGCCTCGAGTCAGGAAGACCCAAGTTCAAATCCAGCCTGGGACACTTACTAGCTGTGCAATCTAGGTGAGTCACTATCCCCCATTTGTCTGTTTCCTCATCTGCAAAATGGGAACAATAATAGCACCTGCCTCTCAGGGTTGTCGGGAAGAAATGAGATTCTATTCATACATACATACATACATATATGAAATGCTTTATAAACTTGAAAGCTAGCATAATAAATGCTAGCTATTATTACACTAATGGTTTACAAAGCATTTCATGCATGTTCTACCTGAGCCTCAGAAAATCGTTCAGGAACACGATGCAGATTGTTTTCATTCTTATTTGATCAATGAGGAAACTGAGACTCAAAGATGAAGTGACCTTTGCACATGGTACCTCATGTCAAAAGTGTTGGTCCTGGGTTAGAGCCTACGCCTTCTGGCTGTGTATCCAACTATCTTTGCATCATATTTTCCACAGCTGTCTTCCTAGAATATCGTTTTCTGTTGTCACGAAATGGTTTTCATCTGTCTAGGAAGGTCTTAGGGCAGGTGATACTTGGAGTTGCAGACAGAGTGCAGTGGAATTGTGCCAACATTTGTTTTTTCCCCAGCTCTCCTTGATGGGAAATGGGGCCCCAGGAAAGTTAAAGGTTTAAAGTTCTTTCTCCTCTTTTGCCTGACTTCTTGTTTGGGAAGCCACAGCATTATCTTACATCTTCTCTGAGGGCCATTTTGGAGTCGCTCACGTTACGTTCTAGCGTTATCAAAGACGCAGCATTGATGGGGCCTGTCCTTCTTACCAGTGACCCCAGAAGCGAACAGTGTCAAAATCACTTGCTTGAGATCAGGGGACGTTTTCTTCAAACCTTCATTTTTCCCTATTGGAAGAAAATTCTAGTTAGGGAAAAAGAACTGAAATCTTTCAGCTTGGGTCTTTTGTTTGGCATCGCAGATGTCTCGGGAGTAACCACTCACATTGTTGCCTAGCCTAGAATGCTATGAGACAGCCTGTCGTGTGTGCTTGATTATGTAATAGTTGCTTTAAAAATACTTATTGATCAAACGATTGATTAGTGTCCCTGTGTCCCAGGCAAGGAGAAAAGACTATTGGCTTCCTTTAACTACCAGAGAGACCTCAAATGAGAAAAAATATGGGTTTTAAAAAAAGAAAATACAATATTTGCTATTAGATTTTATATTTACAAGCAGGATCTGTTTTGTCAAGGTGTTTGGGTATTTTTCTTGTACTGTAACCTGAAGTTTTATTTCTTTTCCAGAGTGAGGGACAGAGCAGCAATAGGTTGAGAGTGAATAGGAGAGATAGTCAATCTGGATCCAAATTATTTCAACAGGCTAGAATGATGGACCAAATCTATTGAAATGTCATTTAATGGAAATATAAAGTCCTGTTTAAACATCAAACTATGAAATACAAAAGTACTAGGTAAGGATGCCATGTATACTGAAGGATTCTTGCAAAAAAGACATGGGGGCCTCAGCAAAGTTGCAAATCCCTGCCAAGGCAACAGTGTGACATAGCAGCTAAAATAACCAATGTGATTTTAGGGAGTAACATAGGAGGATGTTGTCCAAAACAAAGTGGGTAATCACTCCATTGTCCTCAGCCCTGGTCAGGCCATATCCGAAGTATGTGGTCAGTTCAGGGGACAGTGTCTTCAGTTGGACATTGACCACCTAGAGTACATTTGAAAGAGGGTGGCCAGAAGGGTGAAGACACTGACAACTGCTCTGCCAGGATCCACAGGTGATGTTTATCCTGGACAAGAAGATCTGAGGGGAGGTAGCTAGTCCATGGCCACTGCCATCACTGACAGAGATCATGTGGAAACTTTTTCTGCTTGGACCTGAGGACAATATTAGAAATAAGGCCTGGAAGCCGTAGAAGACAAGTTTGACTTGATAAAAGGAAAAATTTCTTAGTGGCTAGAGCAATCCAAAAATGGAATTTCCTGCCTTGGGAAGCAGTAAGTTCTCCATTGCTGGAAATCTTCCAGCAGTGCCTGGACAATGTCTTGTCAAGGATGCTGTAGGGAGGAGAGGTAGGCTCCTGTCCAGGTACAGGATTTGGAACTCTGAAGTTCTAAGACTCCTGCTTGGGAGATTGACTTCCCTGAAATGTGCATGACATAGTTTACAGAGGTGTTAAAAAGGGACAGCCTTCGACGAAGCTTAACTTCTGCAGCAGTGGTCTCTGATCATTTTCGATTGCATTCCTCTATCAAGAAAACCTTTCTGAGCGTGTACCACTACCTCTATAATTGCTCTTTTATGCCTGCATATGTGTTTGTTTATAAACTATACACATGTGCCGCCGTACTGCTAATTATGTGCAGTGCACAATTTATATTAAAAGTAGACTTTTAAAAAGATACAATAAAGACGAAATAATGTTTGATACTGGAAGTAATAAGAACCACAGTATATTGAGTGGGGAGGGTATGGTATGGTCAGGCTTGTGCTTCAGGAGATTCACTTTCCTGGCATCTGAGTGGAGGATGGAGAGATGAGGAGGCTATTGCAATATTCCAAATGAGAGGTAATGATGATCTGAACTACAGTGCTGACTATTTGAGCATAGAGAATGAGAAATTGTAGAGATGTGGAGGCAGAAATTTGGCTACTGAATGAAAATGCCCAGAAATGGCATTAGGGAAAGTGAGGAGTGGAAGATGACACTGTCCTCAGTAACTAGAGGGATGGTGGTGCCCTCCGCTCTAATAGGGAAGATGGGTAGGTTGAGGAGGAAAACTAATGAGGTCTTCCATCCAGATCACGAGACATCGGTGGCTGCTCGTCCTTTGTACATCACTCTCTCCTGTCCCAAATGAAAAGTGGAGAGGTTAGGGCCTTGCCAATCATATCCCAGAAAGCAGAGCTTGCTGTCCCAGAATTGCCCACGGTGGCCACAAGGTCATCTGGAGCAGGGATGGGTATGCTGGGGGACAGGGATTTTCCCAATAGCACTGTGTAACTGCTGTAACGGATGCCCAGGTAGGCCTTAGGTTGTAACTGCTCTTAAGGACTGACGCCCAACAGAGAAAAAGGTGAGGTTATATGATGGAGGGAGTTGGCAAAGTGGAATAATCTTCGTGGATAATGGTAGGTATGGTTGTATTAGAGACAAGCCACAGGATTGGCTATCGTAGTACAGATGGGATGTTACCTATCTTCTCACCCTCCAAATGACAGAACATGCCCTCTTTGCGATAGAGCCGTCTCCCCACCAGAGGGCCCTGAACCCCACTTTGGAGACCAGGCTTGGAGTGGCCTTTCCCATCACATACACACTCACTTTGTGGTGCCCAGCGTCTATGTGGTGATCTCTAACTTCTGATCTCCGCTGTTGGCCCCAAGTTCCTCCCTCCGCACCCTTTCTGCTCTTCAAGAGTAGAGGTCTGGGGGCAGCTAGGTGGTACAGTGGATAGAGGACCAGCCCTGGATTCAGGAGAACCTCAGTTCAGATGCGGCCTCAGACACGTAACACTTACTAGCTGTGTGACCCTGGGCAAGTCACTTAACCCCATTGCCTAGACAAAAAAAAAAAAAGTAGAAATCTGCAGACCAACTAACTGTCATTTGGAAAGGCTCAAAAGAGCCACCACCTTTTTGGTAATAATATGGTACCTCCCTCAGAGATATTTGCATATTTACCTTAACCCAGAGGAGTGAATGAGCGAATGATATGATATGATACGATATGTTATAGTTTGGGAGGGAGGATACTAGCAGTTGGGGGATCAAGAAAGGTTTCACTCAGAAGATGGGGCTTGAACTGCACCTTAAGGAATGAAAGGGTTTCTATGAGGTAGAGGTAGGGAATGTGACAACCACTGTAAAGTTAGGGAAACAGGAGATGGAGTGTCCAGTGTGAGGAACAGGAAGGGGGCCAATTTAGCTGGATCATAGAATGTAGGAGGGGCAGTAATGTCCAATGAGG